CCCGGCGGGGCCCCGCGGTCCTGCCGGGCCCCGCCACGCCCCGACCCGCTCTTTCTCGGTCTCCGGGGCCGAGCACACCCCTCCCTTTACAATAGCCTCCTGCCTCCCGGCCTGCCACGCCCCTCGCATCTCCTCCTCCCAGAGAGGCCAGGGCCCCGCGACCCAGGGCCCTGGCGTGGCGCGGGCCTAGAGATGCAGTCGGTGGCAGAGGAAGCCCCATTCCTGGAGGGGTCAGAGCAGGTCTTGGCTCCCCTTGACCGACCCCGGGCGCTCCGTGCGTTCCCGTGCAGCTCCGGGGCGGGGCCGCGGGCCTCCGGCTGAGTGTGCGCGGTGCATGAACCTGCGCGCACCTGAAGTTTTAGGCGCCTGGCGGTTCGCCATTCCCAGACCAGGCACTCGGCACTCGGCACTCGGCACAGGGACAGCCCCGGCACCGTGGAACGTCGTGTGTGCTTGTGTGTCTTCTGAGTGTAGAGTGCCCAGGGGGTGGCCAGATTTGGGCGGTGGGGACACAGGCCTGGCCTGCAGGTAGCCAGTGGGCAGGTACAGACAGCCCTGTGCCCCTTTTCAGTTGTTGCAACGCTGTTCCCTGGGGAGAGCTTCTCAGGCGAGCAGCTGTCCAGCCCTCCTCCAGCCCTGTTCCAGCCTCTGCCCGCCCTGCCCGGCCCTGTCGCCCCTAGCTGTCTCCCAGGGAGAAGCCACCAGGCATCTCCCTCCCCTGCTGGCTCCTGCACCACCTCGGGGAGTGGGTGGGAGCCCCTCACCTTGTCCTGCTGGAAGTCAGGCTGCACAGACACCTGGGCCTGGGCTGGGGTTTGCAGGCTGCCCAGGACCCCCAGCAGGACCAGCCCCAAACATGCTGTGCGCAGAGCGGCCATTCTGAGCTGCGCAGACACTGGTGTGGCTGATCGGGAATGGCTGCAGGAGCAGAGGACAGGGCCGAGACCCCTATTTATGACCCAGGCCTGGCCTCCATCCAGTGCCTAGGGACAGCCCACTGGAGCCTCGTGATGCTGGCTGGTGGGGGTGGTGAGGCCAGCTGCAGCCTGGTCCCCCATGGGCTGCTTATGCAAGAGGCTCAGCGGGACAGACACTGTGGAGCACGCGGGTGGCAGGTGCGGCCAGGCCGCCGGGGGGGGCCCTGTGCTGCCCAGAGGAAGAGCTGGCAGGGGGCTGCTCGTCTGGCTCCTGTGGTGAGCTGGGCCCTGGGCCTTAGCACTGCCCTGCCTCTGGGCCCTCATCGCAAAGGCCTTCCAGCATCCCTCATCCACTCAAGATCCCAGGAGGGGACCCAGAGCCTGTGTGCTCTGAGACTGCTGCTGCACACCAGCGGGTATGGGAAAGCTGGGGCCAAGGAAAAGAAGCTCCACCTGGCCTACAGGGGCCTGGGCGGGCAGTGTTGCCCTGTGACCAGCTGGTGGGGCCCTGGCGGCAGCCCGTGGGTGCCCTGCACAGCCCGGGGCCGCCTTGGCTTGGGTAAATTGGCCATGGAGTGCAGCCAGCTCCACCCTGGGGCAGCAGGGCAGGTGGGGAGCCAGGCTGCTGCTGGCCTGGGAGTTTGAGATGTCTTCCTCGGGGTTCTGCACCCCTACTCGCCTGGGTCTTGCCCTTTGTCACACTCCCCAGTGGCCTGAGCACAGCTCAGGGTTGGTGCACCGCTCCCCAAGCTCCAGACTGGGGGACAGCTTGCTCTCTCGCCCATCGGGGCCTGGGCCCAGGACCGAGCCCCTGTCTGCCAGCCTCCCACCGGACACTGCCCACTCAGCAGGCACCGTCATGCCCAGGACCTGGGGAGAGCGTGCCAGAACAGGTGGGGTGCAGGAGAGCCAGCACCACACTGCCCAGCTGAGTGGCTGCAGCAACTTGGGGTGCCATTAAGGCTGGGCACTGGGGTGCCAAGTGTGGAGGCCATGCAGTTCTGCCTGGAGCGCACCACCAGTTGTAGCCTTGGGGATCAGGCCAGGCCATCTCAAGGCAAGGGCACCCCTTGGGGGTGAGCCAGCTACAGGCTGAGGCCCAGGTGGGTGGGGCAAGGCGCTGGTCCATTCCAGCCCGGATGTTGCCATCATGGGAGCCCGGCACACAGTGGGTCCACTGCCCTTCAGGCCCAGCATGCCCCCACCCTGTTGGCATGGTCTCTTCCCACAGGCCTGGACAGCACGGTGCCCCCTGCCCCACCCCCACATGGGCTGCAGGAAGGTGTCTGTGAGTGTGGACAGCTGGGTCTCTCTGGCCACAACCTCCAGGCTCAGGGCAGGGGGCCACAGCTCCAGCCTGCTGCCTCCTTCGGGCACCCCATTGCACCCTGACCTAGAGATCCAAACCTTTTAGCCAGGGCTTTCTGGCCCTACTCCTGGCCTGTGGCCCCTGCCCCCTGGCCCCTTGGTCATCTCTTGCCTATTGTCTATCCCAGGCTCAGGAGTAGGCGGCACCGGTAAGAGCACAAGGTCGGAAGGTCTCCAGCTCCAGCCCTGCCCTGCCCTGGAGCAGGGTCAGGGCCCCTGCTTCCCGCCAGGGATCAAGACTCTGTGCACTTCTGTCGGCCAAAGGAGCGCCCAGGTGAGGGAGGGCAGACCAGGCTGGGTGGCCTCTCCACCAACAGCCCTCTGGGTACCCACGAACGGTACCCATGAACGGTGGGTCAGGCCTGTGCGCCAGCCTGGGCCTGGGCCCAGCTCTCAGATAAGCACTCGACTTAGGAAGGCTTTTTTGCGGGAGATGCCACCGGGCAGTGAGGTCCACCAGAGGCACTGACAGGTGAGCAGGGCTTCTCTACAGGGACAGTGACAACATGAGGGTCTGGCAGAAATCCGGGGCTCCAGAACAGTGTCTGACGTCACCACTGATGGCTGGTTTCTGGGTGCTGGGTGGGCTTGAGGAGGGTTCAGAGTGAGATGTCAACAGGTCTGTTCTGGGGTGAGGTCTCAAACAGCGCTCAAGGCACAGGCCGTCCTGTATGTGCGCGGTTGCAGCTCTCCCATGCACGGGGCTACGCTGTCCTGTGCGCGCGAGCCTTGGCTCTCCCATGTGCCTGCGCTGCGACTGCGTCTCACTGAGGTGGACAGTGAAGGCCCCCACAGCGCAGCGTGCCCACAGGACGGGCAGGGCAGGTGCAGAGGGCGCCCAGGAGCCCCGCCCACCGTGCGGAGCAGACCCCCAGGACCCTAGAAAGTGCCATGTTTGAGGTTAAACAAAGAACCTATTTCTTACTTCTCTGAGGCGGTGTTGGTATAGGCCTCACGCTACCCAAGAACCACCGGTCCAGGGAGGGGCCGGGCGCTGGCTGGTGTCTCCACTGGGCCCAGCGGTCCTTTTCCTCCTCCAGAAAACAAGCCCTCAGGCACCTGGTCCTGCGCAGCAGGTCCAGATGGTGACCGGGAGGGAGCTGCTCTCTGGCCCAGATAGACTCTCTTACTGCCTGCAGAAGCCAGCAGGATGCGGGGAGGAGGGTGGCAGCAGGCCAGGAGGGCCTCCTTCGTCCCACTCCACCCCTCCCCTGGGCCAACCAGCCTTGAAGTGCCCCTCACAGTGGGGCCTCCCCGCCAGTCCCTCCTCCCCTGCCTTCCACAGGCCAAGGCAGGTCCTGGTGAAGGGGTGGGAGGGGCTAGGCCAGCAGGAGCGGGCAGCAGGGGTGTGCCGTCTGTCTGTGGACCTCCTCTCCTCCCCAGCCGGCTTTCTGGGCTTTCTGCACCACTGGCTTGCTGGGGTCTGCAAATTCAGGGCCCGGCCAGGAAGTGTCTGGAAGCCTCCTGCCTGGCACCCGCTGACCCGAGGGCGGGGAGCAGCGGTGAACACAGGGCCCAGGGCCCTCGGTTGCAGCTCTCACTTGGTCTGACTACCCTCACAGGCCCAGGGGCTCCCAGCAGTCCTGGACTCTGCAGCACAGAGATGACTGGCAGCAAAGGGTGGCGACAGTGGGGAGACTGTCCCCATTTCCTGGGAGCCCTCACTGAGCTGTGGGGAAGGGTCCACGTGTGCTCGTGGGGGGCAGTGCAGGCCTGAGGAGGCTGGTTTTTGCACTCTCAAGGGCCAGCGGGCTGTCCACCCAGGGAGCCTGGGACTGGCCCTCGGAGACGCGCCCCTACCTGTCTCCCGTGCCGAGGCACATGAACATTCAAAATTCTTGTTTTTCCTATTTTTTTTTCTTAAAGGAAGGTTTTTGCTACAGGGCATGCGCACTCACCGGAGAGACAGAGAGACAGAAAGCAAGAAATCACCCCACAAGGGGGGCGGCCATGCCGCAATCCCTTCTCTATTCTCCTTCCAAGATCTTGGGCACGCACACACATGCACCTGGCGTGAGTCTTAAGCCACTAGGTCTGGGACTCGAACTGTGCAGGACTACATGGGAGTCCAGTGATGTGACCATTATGCTATCTGCTGGTTCCTTTAGTTCTTGCTATAGGGTGTATGTGCTCCCCAGAGAGGGAGAGGGATGGCCATGCGGCAGTCCTCCTTCACTCTCCTCTCCGGATTTTGGCCACGCACACACACACACGACTGGCGTGTTTTTCAGGCAGCTGGGTCCAGGACTCAACCCCCACAGCTGTGTGGGACCTAGCCACCTTAGCCACCACACTATGGGCTGACCCAAAACTCTCGTGTCCTTTGATGGGCTGAGTCTCCTGTCATCAAGAGGTCATCTGTCAGCCATTCCCTGGCATGTCCCTCTTGCCTCCTCTACCTCCCCAGACCGGGTGCCCACCCACAGCGCTTCCCTTCTCCTGGAAGCCCACAGTATGGGCTCGAGGGGAGCACAACTGATGGGTTAGGCACAGGCGGTCCCCCCAGCCCACAGGGAGCAGGACCTGCTTTCTGGCTGCAGACGAGCTGCAGACGAGCCGCCAACAAGCTGGGCCTGCTCGAGACTGTCGTTGGAGCCTCCCGGTGTGGTCTTGGAGGGCAGGCACCCCACCCCAGCCCCCTCAGCCCACCTGCTCCAGTCCAAGCAGCCCCAGGAGGGCTGGGCCGCAGCCCCCAGGCCCGCCTGGTCTCCCCACCTGGAGGAGAGATCTAGGTTAGGCTATGGGAGTCGGGGTTCCTGATGTGACCCTCAGCTTCCTCCCAATGGCACCTGCTTCCTCCTTGGTGCAGGGGGCACGGGTGTGCTGGGCACATCCACAGGTGCCAGGAGGGCCTCCATGAGCAGGGGCGTGAAGAAGGAGGAGGGTGCTCTCTGCTGTCCCATGAGACAGGCTCCTGTGGCCTGGAGGGTACCAGATATGTCAGGACACATGTCTCAGGCTGTGTTCAGTCCGGGGCGCCCTTCTCCTCACGGCTGACCCTGGGGTCAGGCGCACATCGAGGGACAGGCCTCCCAGACGAGGCCCCTCCACCTGACCCTGCTCATGGGCAAGGCAAGCCCAGGTGGTGAGCTAGGACTCTTGGTACGGCCACGCCAAGGGGACTGAGGGCTAGCAGCCAAGCTGGGGCATGAGGAGAAGCAGCAGGGCCTTGCCCAGCCTCCCACTGCCCAGCCTCAGGGCTCATTTCTGAGGCTCAGGCTGGGCCAAGGGTCTGGGCTCTTCCTGCAGCAGCTGATGCCCTTCGGTGTGCATCGGGGTGAGGCTACACCCGCAAGCCCCCCCCACCCTGCCCTGGCCATGGTCGGAGGGTGATGCACCCAGGAAGAAGGCAGGGAGCCACAGGCGGTGCCAGGCATGGGACTACCGGGCTCTGGGGACACGCGAGGTGCCATGCTGTCCTAGACCAGGACTTGGGGCCCCACCTGGCTAGTGGCAGGGCCTGTGGCTGAGGCCTGGCTCGCCCCACTCCTGTTCAAGGACACGCACACCCCCGAGGCAGCCAGAACAACGGGCCTGGGCTGGCGGCTCCATGGGGTGTTCAGAGCCATTGTGGCTGCAGGGTCGGTCCCCCCAAGGCCACAGGGGCACACGGGGTCCTTGTGGGTGCAGTGCATTTATTCATGAGGACTGCGAGGACAACGAGGGGGCCGGGCCGGGCTGGGCCGGAGCCACTTCGTCCTTCAGCAGGTGACCTGACCTGGTGACCAGCATGACAGGGACAGGGTTGAGCAGAGGGTCAAGGGGAGAGGCAGGGACGAGGGCTGGGGACAGGGGCCAGCAGCGGCTGTGGGACAGTTGGAGAGGCCAAGGAGGGTGAGGGGCGTGCCCTCGGTGCCACCCTGCCTCCCGTGGGCCCCAGAGTCACAGCAGGCCTAGGCAGTGTGCGTGGCAATGTGCACACAAAGGCCCAGCAGCTGGAGTCACGGGCACAGCAGGCCTGGCTCCTGCAGAAAGGCAGGCCTGGCAGAGCCGCCCCTGAGCCCGCAGCTTTGGGGCTGGGCTTCTGAATGGCCGAACTGGGCTTCCTGCCAGAACAGCCACCCAGGGCTGGGGCTGCTCCTGGGCGGCCCCAGGTTTCTGTGAGCGAGGCTGGGGGTGGAGGAGGGGGCCAGGGCTCGGTGAGGTTGGGGACAAGGCACCAGGAAGCCTCAAGTCTGGTACAGGCTGACATGACCAGGCACCTGGGGCCACCCTGGACCCTGAGCCGCAGCTCCGTGCAGGCCCCACCCCCGGTGCCGTCCAGCGCCCAGGCCCTGCTTACCAGTCACGTCTGGGAAGACGACGTTGTCCTCGGAGAAGCCCTGCATCCTACCCAGGCAGATGAACTTGCCCAGCGTCCCAGGAGGAAGCACCCAGCTTCTGCCTGTGCAGGGCAGCGTGCTGGTCAGGGCGGGGCGGTGGGTCGGCCATGAGCCAGGAAGCTCCGGCCACAGGGTCGTGGCAGGCCCCTGGAAACTCACCCAGCAGGCTGGTGCTGATAATGGCCTGGCTGCCTGCCCACCTGTGGGCCAGCAGCAGGGCGAAGCTGGTGTAGTCAGTGTTCACCACCTGGATCTCCCCTCTGTCCACCCCAGACGCTGTGGGGACACAGACCTGGTCAGGCCCTTCCCATCAGCTTCTCCCTGCCGCCCACGATGTCCACCATACCTCTGTTGCGGTCCACAGTGAACTGCCCCGGCTGAGTCCCTGGGACGAGTATGTAAGACCAGGTATCGCAGCGCTGTGCCCTGCGGTGGGCAGACAGGGCGGAAAGCTCTGGAAGCCGGCCAGGCCCACAGGGAGGGGCCCCAAGGAGAACCTGCCACTGGTTAGGGAGGGCCACGGTGGCGGCAGCAGCTGTGACCAGGATCTGCCCCTGGCACAGGGGACACAGATGGCTGTAGCCTTGGTCCTAGCCTGGCCCTTGTCCCTCCTGGAGGGGCAAGGTGTGCACCAGCCCCCTTGACAGCCTCTGCCCAGCCCCATGCCACAGCCCTCTGTAGCCAGGTCAGAGTGCCCATTCTCCCCGGGCAGGCTGGGTGGGCTCGGCATGGCTCCCCCCCATGGGAGGGGGTCGGGAGCAGCAGGGCAGGCTGCAGGCAGGCATGGGGGGGCTTCGTGGGAGCTGCGTTTGGGACTCACCCCACTGACTTCTGGAGAGCTGGGCAGGGAGGGCCCTGGAGAGACCTCGCGCCAGGAGGTTGCCCAGGCAGCCCATCACCCTACCCTTCCTGTGCTGCAGTGATGGGTTAGGAGGGGCACATCTCAAGGAGAGCCAATCAGCTCGCCCCAGGCTGGCCTGCACTCTCCCCTTTCAGACGGAAACCCTGAGGGGCCTCAGCTCAGGCTGCTGTTGAGTGGTCAGGCTGGGACAGGCAGAGCTGATAGGGAGAGGGGTCCTGGTCCCAGCGACTGTGCTCCTGAGTCCAGCTGGGCCTCAGATCCACAGGCTCCCTACTTCCAGATCTGTAACCCCGTAAACACCTCTCTGCGTGCAGACACCTGCTGAGCTGGGTCTGGCTCCTGGCACCTGGGGTCGCTGGGCACATGGGCCACTTAGTAACTGCCTTAGAGGCGGGCTGGGACAGGGCGCCGGGTGTTGGGGTACCTGCTCACCGCATCATGGCGCTGGACATCAACACATGGCCATCCTTATTCACCTCAAAAGTTGTG